CCCTCCCCTGCCCCTCCCCCCTCCCTTCCTCCCACCTCCCATCCCTCCCTCGCGCTCTCCATTCGTTCTTTGCAGCTCCCCTCCGTTTCATTCTCCTCCTTCTGAATCCTAAGGGCGGCTGCGTCGAGACGATACAGCCGGAGCGCCGCCGTGGCGGTGGTAGGAACTATGAGACGGCGCGCGGCATCTTCCGCGATGTTCATCGTGTCCTATGTGCTTAGTGGGTAGCCGTGCTGATGGCATGCTGATAGATTCACACGGGTGTACTTTGGAGTCTATGTCTAAATCAAATGTCTATAGGGTAGAGATGGATCCCTGAAATTTTCATGCTTTCTTCCAGAAGTGCACGATTGTTACGCTTATCGGCCCCACTATTTGGTTCGTTTATCATCGCGTTCCGCGGTGCGCGGTGTGTTCCACCTCTCGTTCCTCGTGTGGGAGCGCTTCAGTTTCTTATCGAGTATTTCGGCTAGGTTCGGCAACCACGGGAAGCACTGCTCGGAAAGAAATACTTTTTGTAGCGTGTGGAGAAACATTTTTCTTGAGCGGGGAGAAATATTTTTGTTCGACCGGGGAAAAACATTTTTTTCTCATGCGGGAAAAAAAATTTTCTCTCGCCCGAGAAAAATATTTCTCTCCTTATAAAAAGTTTTTCTCCTCGTAAAAAAAGTTTCTCCCCTCATCAAAATTTTCTTTCCTCTCCTAAAAAAAAATTTCTCCTCCAGTGAAAATAGTTTTTCCCCTTTTGAAAAAGTTTTTCTTTCCAGACAAAAATATTTCTTTCCAGGGTTACGGAAATGATGCCACAATTATCTTTATAGGTCACTTTTTTTCAGATGGGGGAGGGGGGGGGGTAAAGAATAGTTCACTCTGACTGATGGCCACTCCAAAAGTGTCAACCCGATATAGCTTAATCAGCAAAATGATATGATAGTGGTATAGTGCAAGACTTCTAGTCCAGGCAATAGGGAAGTTCTTGGGGAAAATTTCCCGGAAAACTTTTTGGACGCTGAATCCGAATTTCGCATTTGTTTAAAGATATTTTCGCCGCTAAAGCCGTCATTTTGAAAAAATGGCCTAAAATCCCAGTTTTTGAAAATTTCTCGCTTATTTTTGATTTTTTGACCGAAGTAGTTATTTTCAAAATTGAAGTAAATTAAATTCTAAGGAAAATATGTTCCTATCAATTTTTTGATATGACTGAAATTTAAGTCGCCAGAGCGCGCTGAAAAAACCGCCAAAATTCGAATTTCGCGAAACTTGCGCTTTTCTCGTGAATAACTTTTCTCGGGGCGACTCTACGTAAAAAATCTTAACTGCCAAACTTATAGAGCAACAAATCGAATACTAGGAGTTACTTTTTAATTTTTTTTTAAATCCCGGACGGCTCTGACAAGCTTTTGAAGTCGCATTGAAAAAAGCTAAACCGAGCATGGACAAGCTTCGCTAGTATCTGCGTAATTACTCTTCTGTGGACTTCTCTAGGGGGCTTATTTACGAGTCACATTGTAAAATTTCATTGGAAGGTGAAGCCCCCCCTCCCCTGAAGATCCCTTAATAATTAAATGTCGCCAATTGCCCTCCCCCCCCCATTCATTTTAGTGAATGAAACGTGAATGCAATTATTTCATCGGTGATATTTCGAGAAAAAGTTTATGTTAAGTTAATTTACAACACATGGAAAAAAAAATGGGAACACTGATTTGCATGACCTTTCTTATGCATCAATACATCATGACCTCCTACTTAATTGCGCATAGCAAAGAGGTACCAAATATATTTTTCATGAAGCCAGCTATGGGTATAATAAGCCCCAAGTCTTGTACAACCGAGAAAGTGTTGGCGATGAAGTAATCGCGTATGATATTCTTTGAATTCACGCTTTCACTGTGTGTGATACTACCTCGGGAATTTTCAATCAAGGAAAAGTCAAATTATTGAATATTTTTTAAAAAATCATGATTTAATCAAATATGCAGAAGATTTAAAATATTCACATTAAAATATTCAAATTAAATGACCCAGGGTGGAAGGACGGATCAAGCTATCAGGGAAAGGAACACCTTAGCAAGGAAGGCTATAGCAATGTTAAATGGAATCCTCTGGGATCAGCGGATTTCCAAAGATAACAATAAGAGGAGGATGTACAACGCTGTAGTTAAAAGTATATTAACATTTGGATGTGAAGTTTGGCAGCTGAAGAAACGGACACAGGATATGCTAAGAGCAACGGAGATGGATTTCTGGAGAAGGTCAGCAGGAATTTCTAGGAGAGATCGGGTCCGTAATGACAGAGTGCGTCAGATAATGGAAGTCGAAAATGACATCGTGTTCGACGTCATGACCAAACAACTTGTTTGGTATGGTCATGTCAATAGGATGACGGAAGAGAGGCTGCCAAAAAAGATGCTTGATTGGGTTCCTCCTGGGAGGAGACGTAGGGGACGCCCAGTGAGAGGTTGGCGACAGGGGGTGTTAAATGAGATGAGAGATTGTCAACTTCCTGATGACCTGTGCGGGAAGACCGAGCTTTGTGGCGATTAGGCGTCGTAAAGCGCCAAAGGGCGCTGTAAAAGCGACTCATATATATATATATATATATATATATATATATATATATATATTCAAAATCAACACGTGAAATCATTTCTGCTGCAGGCCAGAAGCTGTTTCTTGCACTTTACGGCCAGAAAGAGACATTGAGTTTCAAACACAGTTTCAGACAAAGTTTTTCTAAATAAGGACAGATACGAATGCTTTATAAAATCTTCATTTCAAAATAAACAGAATCTTACGTCTTTGCCACCAACTGAGAAGGTTGCAGCAGAGCATGCATTCCGAACTTATTTGCAGGTCCAGGAGTGACAGGGTGAGAAAAAGGATCCTTGCAATTGGGGCTGGAAAGCCACCATAAATGGGCTAACGCCTATAACAACTTTGGATTCACCAGCTCCCGAAAATATTTTAAAGCTAATTGCCTGCAAGTGCAAGAAAGGTCGCCGCAAGATTTGTGGGTGCCGTAAAAATGGCTTGCGATGCACTATTCTCTGTCAGATGTGCAATCAATCCTGCGATAATTTTCAAATGGAAGATACCTATCCTACACGGAAAAAAACCTCATGCGTGGGACCCAAAGTTTAAGTCATATATATCTCTAAAGTTTTCAGATTGAGCATCTGAACACTTTAGGTCTAGCTGTCGATGTTCGGATCACGCATCTGAAACTTCAAGTTCTTACATCTGAAGTAAAAGTAGTACATACTTCGGTTTTCACAACCGAAAAACTTCGGTTCTCACATCTGAAGTACTTCAGATGTAAGAACTGAAGTTTCAAATGTGTGATCCAAACCTCGACAGCTAGACCTAAAGTCCTAAGATGCTCAATCTGAAAACTTCAGGGATCCACATGACCTAAACTTCGGGTCCCACGTTCCACGCACGAGTTTTTTTTCTCCGTGTACAAGGAGAGGAAGAGGGGGGAGACGTCGATGGACCGGCAATTATGACATTCTTGGATGATAATCAGGATTGTGAACCTGGCTCATCTACGCCATCAACGCCAGTACCTGATCAAATATCTGAAACAAACAGTGAATATGACGAAAGTGACCTGGAAATTGAAGAACCAGCAACAAGGGCACTGCGCTCAAGCAAAGCAGTGCAACATATTGATCCGGAACGATCCAATCAAAAAAAAAAAAGAATTCAGATGGGCCACAAACTGATCTCACAAAAATTCCAGGACCATCTACAATACGCTGTAGAAAATAATTAGGTAGATACATGATTTGCATTTCATAACTTTGTATGCACAGTAAGTATAATTTCTTTGAAAATTGCTTGATTTGTGAAAATTAAGAAAACTCTGAAATGTTTTTATTAAAACTTAAAAAAACTATGCAAATGAAATAATGCAGTCCGTCTACTTCAAAGTAGGTAAGTAAGCTTCTTTCCGTCCATTTTCTCTATTCCCGTCCAAAAAAAGCAAAAATTCATGAGAACTTATAGAAATTACCTGATGAATTATTAATGTTACTTGAAATATCACCGATGAAATCATTGCATTCACGTTTCATTCACTGAAATGAAGGGGGGAGGGGGCAATTGGTGACAGTTAATTATTAGGGGGTCTTCGGGGGAGGGGGGCTTCACCTTCCAATGAAATTTTACAATCTGACTCGTAAATAAGCCCCCTTGAAAAGTCCACAGAAGAGTAATTACGCAGATACTAGCGAACCTTGTCCATGCTCGGTTTAGCTTTTTTCATTGCGACTTCAAAAGCTTGTCAGTGCCGCCCGGGATTAAAAAAAAATTAAAAAGTAACTCCTAGTATTCGATTTGTTGCTCTGTAAGTTTGGCAGTTAGGATTTTTTACGTAGAGTCGCCCCGAGAAAAGTTATTCACGAGAAAAGCGCAAGTTTCGCGAAATTCGAATTTTGGCGTTTTTTTCAGCGCGCTCTGGTGGCTTAAATTTCAGTCATATCAAAAAATTGATAAGAATATATTTTCCTTGGAATTTAATTCACTTCAATTTTGAAAATAACTACTTCGGTCAAAAAATAAAAAATAAGCGAGAAATTTTCAAAAACTGGGATTTTAGGCCATTTTTTCAAAATAAAAAGCAGCGAAAATATCTTCACACAAATGCGAAATTCGGATTCAGCGTCCAAAAATACACAGAAATCACTCATCAAAAAGTTTTCTAGGAAATTTCCCCCAAGAGCCCATTTCCTTCCCCTTTTTGATCTACTTCTATGAGAATGAGCTGTAGGTACGTCGTTTCATGAAGTTTCTACTGAAAACTTTTTGAACTTATTGACGTTTTTACAGGCTTTCGACGTTTTTGAAAGGACTTTACACGGTATACTGGGAAGTACGGCGTAGCGCCGGCTTAATTTCGAGATTTTATATTAGATGTTCCCTACGATCTCTTGAGTATAAGATGAGTTTTTGAAATCGAACTTTCCAGGTATGTGCCAATATCGAGAAAATCAGGTTTGAAAATTGCATTGGGCAGTATTACTTGTATGAAGTGGAAAAATGTAAGTTTTCCAAGAGCTTGCTCCTATTTCTTTGTCTCGCGCCTCGCCGTCATCGACCGGAGAAATAGTCAACTCAGTTCAAAATAAAAGGATCCGCATCTTTGACTGAGCGACGGACGATGCCTCTGTTTCATATAGGTAATTTTTTTTCTTTTTGTTTGTTTATTAGCCACCAAAAGGTTTCAATACAGAATAAAATTACATCAAATGGAATGAGAGATAGCACAAAAGAAAACAGTAAAATTACAAGCGGCAAGTTATAACTAGATATAACTATAGACTGTCTATATACACTTTAGGATGGCTGCCGGAAATCGCCGTTTGGCATGTCATCAGCAGCATCGATAGTCTTTTTTCTATTTTCCATTACAGTTCTAACGTATAGGTATATGCACGCAGCTTCCCAATTGTCTTTTGAGCTGAGGAGGATATCAAGAAAATTTGAGGTGGTAAACAAATCGCCGATCTTGGATTCCAGTTGTGAGCGCTCCGGAGAGTAGAAAGAACAAGTGTAGAGCGCGTGCTCGAGTTGTCGGAGGCCGAAGGACAGTGAGGGCAGGTATCAGTTTTCGAGGTTTTCAGTCGCTGTAGATAATGATTAAAGCATCCGTGTCCAAGCTCGTGTTAAATTGCCAAGAAACGTACTTACTTTGCAGATCCGACTTTTGCGAGACGGGCTCATGGAAAGTTCCATTTGATAACTCATTTTATGGGTAGGTTCACGCAGGAGATCGTAAGAAACATTGCAATTGTCAAATAATATTGGAATTCAGGTAACTTGCGCCAAATTTCTCGATACTTCGTGCTTTGTCTTTTGTGTCCTTTTTCGGTACCTTATTTGAATAGACAGGAGAACGTTCAAGTTTGAGCTATGTCGGCTTGGCCTGAGTTTTTCGGTGATCCAGTTCGGGATTCGGATTTGGGCCATCGTGGAATGCCTCAAATACATTACTTCAACGCTGATGGATCTAAACGTCACACCAGCGGTTATCTGCACCACGGGGAACTACTGCAGCGTCTTCGGCATCCTCCTCATGCATATTTTTGTCAGCTTCCTCATCATACTCATGCTTCCGTTTAGGTAAAGATCCCGATCAGTTTGCTACTTTCAAAATTAGTATGGCCCTACCTACCAGTGTTGATGTTACTACCATACCACGTGGGCACCTGTCTGGAAAGGCCCGATCTTTCAGGAGAGTAAAAAACCGGGCTACTTTCCTTAACTTAGACGATAAAACACTACTTACTTAATTCTACTTAGAGGATTTCATAGATAAGCCGCTCCTGGTCATTCTGCAAGTATCTCTAGAAATAACTTCAAATGTTTGAAATTATCAGAAAAGAACTATTGCAAGCTACTGGTTTATATCTAGTAGAATCATGCTTGATGGAGTACTCGTGTCTTTCAAAATGTGGATGGTTTGGTTCTAGGTTACGGGTGACAGGGACGATCCTGAATGAGACGGAGCTGCTGTTGACAAAGTACTACAAGAACCAGAGCTGCGGTTACGACATCCCGTGGCCGACGCTCATCCTCTTCTCCTTCGTTGCCATGTCCTACCTTTCCTCCATTTACTACCTTCATTATAACAAGAATCGCGTCCTCTTTTGGCTCTTCTCTTACGTAAAAGTCAGCTCCAATGTCCTCATCAATGTTGTTGTCATCCTCAGCGTCGTTGCTGAGAAGTCCTACGAGATGATCAACCAGCACCTTCGCGATCTCGCCTCTCAGAAGCCTGAGATTGGGCAGCGTTCTCAGGTAGGTACGCCCAAAATCCATTTACCCGTTCTTCCCCCTCCCATTTTCGGTCCGTCCGTGTATCCAGAGGCCCGTCCGTCTGTCCCTTTTATATGCATGATTCATCTGAACAGTAGGCATATAAGTAAATAAAAATTTTACTTTTGAGCCTTTCTGACGTGTGACTTCGGTTGAAGCAGTCAACTATAGTGCTAATTGTGGATCTTAGGTCGTTCCAGCTACTACCTCTTCAACTGCGACGGACAGTTACTGTATTATTTTAAACCAAATAAATGTAAGTAGGTAGTCAAGCTGCCGACTGTCTCATGAGCGTAGACGGATGCAATTTAATTGTGCATGGATACGAGAGGGGTATTCTCCATTATCTTGTTTCGTTCTGCTGGTTAACATCTGGCATCAAGCAACTACAGGAATAAACTTTATGATTAAACTGGCACATTGTTGCAATGTAATAAAACTGATGAAAATTTTGGGAGCGACGCATAGCATCAAATGTGCGTGAGATTGGTCTATTATCTATATTTGGTGTCCATGCAAATATCGGGGGGAGGGGGAATTCTTTGAATTTTTCTATTGTTAAGTAGAACCAATAGTTATCCGTTGAAACGAACCTTCTGTTTTTGTTCTGATGAAGTGTATTTTTCAGTCACTGGAGGAACTGATGGTTCTACACTGGTTCGTGACAGACTATGTGGAGCATATATCTCACTGCTTCGGAGTTGAGCTGTGCATTATTATGATGGAGATCTACGCGCAGCTCATCATCCGTATGTTCGTCACCTCCTACGTCCTCTTCCTTCACGGACTCTTCCCTCTCTCCCTCGATCATCAACTCGTTGGTGTCTTCGACCTACTCTCGGTCACCTCCAATCTCAGCTACCTTTGCTACAGATGTGATCGTGTTGTATATAAGGTAAGAGCCTGATCATCCTCCTCAAAAAAGTTAATGTCACTTTACAGTGCGTCTATTCGCCTGCCTGCTATAGTAGCTGTCCCTTGAAACAGCAATGGCTCTAGAACATATTTTCGAAACTCTAGGTACGGCGATGGCTAAAGGAGTAAAGAGGGTATCTCAGAAATATGTGGTTTTAAATTGACGACATTATAATATCAGAGGTGATATCGACTTCCCGGCGGCTTTGAGCACGAGTTGCGTGGGCCGATTTCGATTTGAGCGGTTCGGTATCCACCTTTTTCGAGCACTCGTCGCCGATGGCTAGAAGATATCTGTGTTCCTTGTTGACCGCACGTAAAGTTTCATCTGTTGTAAGGTATGAAACAAGGAAAAAGCAATAACACGTGTGTAAATACAAAAAACCCATAAAACACAAACCACCCATCAAACACAAAAAACAAATCAAACAAAACAAACAAAAAACACAATGAACAGATCAAACACTAAAACACATCAAACACAATAAACAAATAAAACGCAAGAAACAAACAATCACAACAAACAGAAACAACACATCATCAGAAAAACACATCAATCAAACATATCAGACAAAACGCAACAAACACATCAAACACAAAAAACACATCGAACACATCAAACAAAAATTCACATCAAACACATAAAGCATACCAAAAACAAAAAACACGTAATACACAAAAAACACATCAAACACATATTACACAAAAAACACAAAAACACATCAAGCAAACACATCAAATACACAATACACAAAAAACACAAAAACACATCAAGCAAACACATCAAAGACAAAAACAAAAAAACACAACACACAACAAACACATCAAACTCAACAAAAACATCAAACACAACAAACACATCAAACGAAACAAACACAGCAAACGCATCAAACACAACAAACACATCAAACACATCAAACTGCGATACACATGGATTATCATATGTATCGATAACCGCAACACTGCGGCGGCGGTTGCTTGGCAACCGTGGGCCCGTTCCTCTCCCCAATTTTTCCATTTTTTGACCATATAATCCCGAAATCACGACAAGGAGAAAATTGAAATAGCCAGTATCACTCATCGAACCGGGGATGACCGGTATACAAATTTTAGGGAAAATCGGTGAGACGGTTTGACCCCCATTTCGTAAAAACTGTCAAAATCGACCTTTACTTTATATATAAGAAAGATTTTTTGTAAAATAAGTTTATATAAAAAGTTTTCTACACAAGAAATTTTTTTTTACGTATATGTAACTTTTTTTAAAATTGTCTACGCAAAATCCGTCAAAATTTTCTTTTTTTAAACGTATTTTTACGTAAACAAATAATCATGTTAAGGACCCCGCACACCTTTTATAGGAAGCTGCACCATGACCGAATGTTTATTTATTTATGTCATTAGATTCTCCTCAAGATGCTGATCAAAAGTTATAAATGCGCTAACTTTCTACGATGCACCGTTTTCGCAAAAAGAAACCGTCGAAAAGATTCAATTATTCAGCGACAATGAAAACTAACAAAGCATTTGAGAACAGGCCCGTGTAAATAAGGAAAAAACGTAGCGCGTGTCCATCTTATTTGTACCTACCTACCGACTCTGCGGCTATCTCTCGACTCCCGCTCTCGTCCGGTTGACGTTTCGACTTTCCTGTTCTTATGCTCCTTATAAGAATCTGATTTGGATGGTCGAGCAAAACGGCGTGCGGAATCCGAGATAAGGCTGCCGCTGGGTGTGGTAGTTCCCATGATTTCCTTTTAGTGTATTTTCCGAAGGAAATACACTATTGCATTCTCCCATGATGTCGGACCCAGACCTGAGACATTGTGAAGAGCACCGATCACGGGTCGTAGATCACGAAAATATATGC